GGGTGATTTTTGCCTGATCTAAGATCACCTACAATTAATACCACGTCCAAAGCTTTTCCACATAATGCCATTAACAACTTGCCACCATATCATGCCAAGGACTGAAGTCCTCAAAAGCTTTTGATGAATTTAGTTTTGATTTTCAAAATAACTTCAGAGCAAGATGGTTCTCCTCCCAATCTATACGAAGCCACCTCCATTTTTATAGTTCCCTCCTAAATACGCTTTAGGTGAATTGTCCATTCTAGTGGCTTATTTCACTTTAAATTACTTTGGACTGCATGGAACTTAAGATGTCTGTGCTCCTACTGTTTGGCTGATTAGCAGACCTGATGAACTTACAAGCCATGCCAGCTCAGTTTATAACATCATTAATTACTGAGGTTTCACTACGTTGAGTTCCAATACATTTGCATTCTTTTTTTCCTTTTTTTTTGAGATTCACAAAAGCCTACTGTCCTCTGTTCCCCAGATCAGAAGTGTTAATTCTTCCTACAAAGTACTTAATGGTAGGCTAGATCATTGCTAACAATCAGGATATGTCTTAGAAGAATAATCAAATCTGTCCTGAGACCTAGACTCCTTTCTGTCGATGATTATCTAATTCTTCCGGGAACAAGTGACCCATCCAGTGATCCTAAATTACATTCTTTAACGGGGGAGAAAAGGACAGGGTGGAGGGTAGAGAAAAAGCTGATGTGACACACTGGATTCAACCATCCAGCAACCAAGTACCAACAAACAATTTCTCCTGTTTCAAAATGAGGCCAGGTATTTATTTGGTTTCGGCAACCCAGAGTGCTTTTTCCTTAAAGATCAGGCCAAGAATGGTCTCGTTTAGGCAAACCTAATCAATTTGAATTAGATCAAAATCTAAGAGGCGGGATTGCAAAACAGGAACCTTCATTGTAGGCATCCAACAATCTAGAGTGATCTTTGATCAACTAAATAATTGGAGAATGAAAAATTAATGGATTGCTAGGAGAACCCGGGAAGCTATTGAAACTTTGACAGGTAAGTCCTTGACTTACAGCCGTTCATTTAGTGGCCAAAGTTATACCAGCACTGAAAAAAAAGTGACTTAGGACCATTTTTCACACTTGTGACCGTTGTCATCTCCCCACGGTCACATGAGCAAAATTTAGATGCTTGGCAACTGGTTCACGCTTATGACTTATGACGGTTGCCATGTCCCGGGGTGAACTTTTTGCAACCTTTCAACAAGCAACGGGGAAGCCAGATTCACTTAACAACCATGTTGGCTAACTTAACAACTGCAGTGATTCCCTTAACCCAGGGGTAGGCAACCTCGGCTCTTTTATGACTCATGGACTTCAAAAAGCATTTACAACTCCGTCAAAGGCAAAGAAACCGGGGCAACATCTTTGCAAGGTAAGTGAATCATGCAGGGCAGGAAGGGAGAGGGAGGGAAGTATGAGGCATCTCACTGGGTGGGGTGGCCTTGGGGGCCTGTTCCATCACTAGGCCCCCCCATGGCCTTCCCCACCCTGAGATACCTCCTGTGTGCTGAACAGCCCATGTGTTTGATTAGCGAATGGATGGGCAAAAGCAGGGAGTCATTGCGTTCAAAGTACATGATTCACTCCTACGAACCCTTGAGTTACGGATGGAATTGGCAGGCTCCATTACATTCGTTAACTCGAGGACTACCTGTACGTGGGCTTCAACTCCCAGCTGGCTGGGGAATTCTGGGAGTTGAAGTCCTCTTCAAATTGCCACGGTGGAGAAATTCTGGTGTAGAGTCACCGAAATATGTCCATCGATTAAGAAATATTCCCTAGAGGTGTTCTGACTTGCTACTCAATCCTCAGCTTTCCAGTGGTTCCGTCTTGTGTTTTGTTTTGCTTCTATTTACATTGTCCTCAAGTGCTTCGCAACCCTTTCTCCAGCTGGTTCTCCTCTGTCCGCTCTTTTCTTCAAAATCTTCTGTTCTTCAGCTTTCGACTGAACTTGAGGTTCATCGCTCTGAGAAGGAAGGTCCGGGGCCTCTCTCCGGTCACCAAGACATGCCATGGGTTTGTCCGGCAAAACTTCAAGATGTGGGATACAGCCAAGTCTCTTAAATCAAAACAGATGCAGAATAACCAAGTAACCGAGTAACAGAATAACAAAATAACAGAGTTGGAAGGGACCTTGGAGGTCTTCTAGTCCAACCCCTTACTCGGGAAGGAGATCTGTACATTAGAAATTATGGAAACAACTAATACAGTCCAACTGATGATCATTTTAATCCACACAGGGCATGGTCTGAGTGGGGCAGGGCACAAGAGATAGTTGTCTTCATGAAGTTATAAAAAAAGGCCAGTGCAGTCCTAGACTGCATCAACAGAGGGATTGTTCCAAGATCACGTGAAGTGTTAGCACCATTTTATACTGCGCTGGTGAGACCCTCCCTTGACACGCCCACACCTGACCCATCACAAGACCCTCACTTGACACACCCACACCTGAAGCCCTTATAAACATTCCCTAAATACCACTGAAGATGTTACCGAGCCTGGGAACGAAACATCTGGAAACCAACCCACAAGCTCGGAGAACGAACCTCCACCTTCAAGCTTATAAATCTAGCCCTGAGGAGGCATCTGTTCATTGTCCTTTCAACTCTGATCAAATAATCTGAAGCACATTATACAGGCACCAGTTTTATCAGCTCACGGTATTTGTCGGTTCTTCCTCTGCTTCATCATCTGGACCCTTCGACGTGGGAGAACTTCGATCCGCATCTAGAAAAGACTTTTCTTGTAAGTAGCTCTGGGAAAGTTCCTCCTCACTTTGAACAACTGCTAAGGACTGTTCAGAATTACCGCTATTCTCCTACCTGCTCCGGGCTTCCATCCCTGCCCAACTGCAACAAGGACTCCGGATTTTAAACCAACTCATTTAGGATTACAAAGCGGCAAATATTTCTCGTGGCCAGCTGTGGACCTCTGCCACTAGGTGACACTAGCGACGCAACATACAATCCTGCATTTACATGTAGGGGGGAAGGGGAAGGTTTTGAGACAGCGTAAAGAAGATTGTTTCCATCCCATAATATGCAATCAGAATGGCTTGGGGATGGCGATGTGGTTGCTCTGATCTCCTCCGAGACTCAAACCAGCTATCTTTTTTGCTCCTTGAAAATTTTTACTAAGCTTCAGCAAAGGAAAAAAATATTTAAAAAAGCAGAAAGAGAGGAATTGCAGCATTCTAGTTCCCTGGAAGTTACCTAACAAGATAAACAATTGGGCAGCAAGATGTGAGTTTTGTGTGTGTACTTGTGTCTTTTTTAATCCGTTCCCTTGTTTTATTGCTGTTATTGTTTTTTTTAATGGGTTTCTTGTTTCAACAGCAAATGATTTTGTCAGAGGGCAAAAAAGGGAAATGGTAAAAGCCTTAAAAAAGGAGAAAATCAGGCAGTCCAAAATGGGAAGGATCTAAGGCAGGGGTGGGCGACTATGGCCCCCCCTTGTGACCTGTGGACTTCAACTCCCAGAATTCCTGAGACAGCCATGCTCAGAAATTCTGGGAGTTGAATGCTGGCTCAGCAATTCTGGGAGTTGAAGTCCAGAGGTCATAAAGTTCCCATAGTTGCTCACCTCTGATCTAAGGGAATCGCCATAGGAAATCACTCTGGGAACTCTACTGGCTATTTCTGATAGGTTAAAAAAAAAAAAAACCAGACAAAAACTGAATTATCTGAATTATCTCAGAAAGATATCAGACTCAAGACAACCTTGTGATAAATAAATTCATCACAGAGAGGGCCAGTTTGGTGCAGTGATTAAAAGCAGGAGTTAAATTTGCCAAGACTGACTCTACAAAACGGGCAATAATTTTATCCAGTAACAAAGAGCATCCGTGAAATTTACAAGTGCAAGTAGTCCCTGCAGTTACGACAGAGACAAAAAAAAGTAACCAATCTTCACATTGAGCCCCTTTGCAGGTCTGTAAAGCAAAGGAAAGATGAAGTTTGATCAAAAGCACAATTATGATCTCACATAGCAACTGCTTGGCTTAAGCACCAAATGGCCGGTCCCAATTGGGGTCTACCTTTAAACCGATCTTCACATAAATGCTTTACCGACTTGGGAAGGTGGTAAATGCAAGGGTTGGGGGCTAAAGTTATTTCTTTCATCCCTTCTGTAACTACGAGCAATCACTAAACAAGGCATTCACCAATCAAGGACTGCCATATTGCCTTTTCTTACAAAAAGAACCAGGACCTGATTGGGGTTAAACAGACACGCAGCTACCGTAGGGCAAAAAATATCTGTCTATTTCCCCCAAAAAAGTGATTTATTGTTCTCAGGAGGCCCTCTGCAATTTTAACATGTGATTGTGAAGTGCATCAATGAACAGGTGTGTCAAATATCCTGATTCTTCAACTCACTTTTTGGAAAGCTTTGCTCCAGCTGCAATTTTAGCCAGATGTTAACGCGCTGGGTCCAGTCCCCGGGGGCCTCCGCTTCCCATAGCCGAGGCTGCTCCATGGGGTGAGTCTCCAAGAACTTCTGACAAACTAAATAGGGAAGAGCAGGAATGCGAGAAGTAACGAACGGGCTTGCCTCCAGAAGTTGTGGGTGCTCCATCACTGGACACTTTTAAGAAGAGACTAGACAACCATTTATCTAGAACAGTGGGGGTCTCCTGCTTGAACAGGGGGCTGGACTAGAAGACCTCCAAGTCCTTTCCAACTCAGTCTGTTATTCTTTGATTCTTCTTGCTGTGAACTTGCTATGTTCCAACAACCGTTTAGGAGAAACAGCAGGGAGAAATTACCATTTGATGTGTGGAAACTGACCCTTTACACCACAACTTGAATGTTTTATTTCACTTCATTTATATCTGAGCCTGCGGAGCAGCCTTAAGAATGTGATCTGATGAATGTTTGAATGTTTGCCTGGGACGTCTAAGGATTCCTGCATAACATTTACTAACAGCATTTGGAAGCAGTGAAAACTCCTGTCTGGAAGGTTTGATTTATGGCTTCCGGTCCACCATCAGTTTTTCTTCACACAGCATCTGGGCCTCCCCTTTTCTTTAAAAAAAAAAAAAAAGCAATTTATCTGAGTCGACACTGCACAGCTGTTCGTAAGGAGAAGAGCCTCCAACAGGATGACTGATGTCACAGATTATTCCAACAAAAATAAGTTAAGAAAGATTGCATTGGCGTAATTGAAGACAGCACTGAAAACTGCATGTGTAGGAATGAACATTATCTATCTGCTGCCCTCAAAAATGGATTCAGGCAGTCCTCGACTTTCAACTGGTCACTTAGCAACCATTTGAAGTTACTAGGGCCCCCCAAAAGGTACCTACAACCCAGTTCTGAAGTTCTGGATGCAGTGATTCACTTAGCAACTGTGGCAAGAAAGATTGTGAAATGGGGCAAAGCTCACATAACAAATTTCTGACTTAGCAAGATAAATTTTGGGCTCCGTTGTCGTCGTACATTGAGGATTACTTACAGGTCAGAAAAAAAAGTTAAACAGCAAGTTTGAAATTGGGTCTTGAAGTTAGATATTGCGTTGTGGAATGTCCCTCTTCAAAATGCACGCAAACAGGCTGTTGTGGTTCCGATAGATGAAAGAACTTGAAAGAACTTCAAGGAAATGTTAGCATTTTTGCTCCAAAACACGGTCATTTCGCCCCTAAATTTTGGTGGATCTTCGCAGACAGCAAATGGTATAAGAGGCCCATAGGCTGCCCACTGAGGCTTATTCTGGCAAAAAACTGCCTCTGTTGATTTCTTTCCCAGCTCTACCTCAAAATGCCAAATATTTATCTTGGGGCTGTTTGCCCGGATTGCTAGGATCCGTACCTGGATGCATTCGTAATCTTTAAAATCTACTCCTTTTATTGAACCCTCAAACTTTACCTTTCTCCATTTCAGCAGAAAGAGGGCAGCTGAGTCCCAAGGCCTCCTCAGAGGGGAAAGACTGGCAAAAGTCCTGGAGCATCTGCATCGCAAGTCCACGTCTTCTAAACTTCTTTCGTACGAACATGGTGTCCAAAACAGGGAGCAGGTAACACTGGCTGGTGTGCCCGTCACACAAATTTCCTGCAAGTAGAGCACAAAGCATCCCAGAAAGGGAACTAATGAACAACTTCTTACTGAACAAATCTCCTTCTCGTAGTTGAAATACAAGGCCTGCTTCTGGGACTTTCTCATTTGTCCTTCAAGAGATGTTTTGGGTCATCTCTTGCCTGACTCAAAGTTCTGAAGAACTTAAATGGATTTCCTCTCCACAGAGAACAAGGACCAATAGATAGAACAGCGGTCTTCAAACTTGGACCTTTTATGACTTGTGGACTTCAACTCCCAGAATTCCTCAGCCAGGGGGTTGAACTAAAAGACCTCCAAGGTCCCTTCTAGCCCTATTATTCTATTTTCTAACAAGTCATTGAACTCCTTGAAGTATAAAGTCTGCACGATTGGCTAAAACAGGCTCTTGTTTTAGAGAAGTCCTGAGGTCCAGTAGACGCAAGCTCTCGTTTCCTTCTCTGATCTCATCAGCAGATTATCGGGCTTACTCACTGCCTCGTTCACTGCCCAATCATGAAAAGTATGTGTTTGCTGTTACGTTTACAAGGCAGCCCAGTTCTTCAACTGTCCAGGAATTTTGCAGCATAAGGCAACTCTTTGGGTGGGTCTCATTGCTGCCCCGTTACTCATACGGTTGGAACATATGGGCAGAGCTAAGAAAAGCATAAGGTCTCCCATGAGTCAAGAAACCGAACGCAAATCGGACTGTCTGGCAGTCCAAGAGAAATGTCATACTCTTCATTTTGGGAAGCTGGCAGAGTCTGTGCATGAGGTCCACTATGGCCTTAAAAGGGGACTGTGTGATTTCAGTAGCCCCATTCCACTTTGAGCTGTCATGGTCAACACAACCAGCCTTTTAGCATCTCGACCATTCACTTAAGAGAATAACAGAATTAACAGAGTTACTTCTGGGAGTTGAAGTCCACAAGTCTTAAAAGTTGTCAAGGTTGAGGATCCCTGATCTACTGTAGGATATAATCTCTAAGATGCAGAAATTTGAACTCCCACGAGATGACACACAAGAGTTCCTTTTTTGTATCTTTTGCCATCCACCCATTTGCTGCCCAGATATGGTGCCCATATACTTAAAAACTCCAGAACTCATTGATTTGGGATTCTTCCTTGTTTGGGGCCCAGAATGGCATAGGGCCTCCTGCTTGAGCAAGAGGTTGGATTAGAAGACCCCCAAGTTCCCTTCCAACTTTTTCTGTTTGGTTCTTGTCAAGGAGAGAAGCAGAAATTTCCTGGCAATGAGAACAATTAGTCAGCGGAACAGCTTGCCTCCAGAAGTTACGGGTGTCCAGGATGATATAAGGTTTTCTGCCGGGGGTTAGACTAGAAGACCTCCAAGGTCCCTTCCAGCCTTATGATCCTATGTTCTAAGAGGGAAGCCAAAGAAAGATGCCCTGGTGTAGCCTACTCCCCGGGAGACCTTCAATCTGTTTGGTTAGGCTAAATGACTAACCTATAAGCCAGCAGAGTGGTAAACAGCAATTACAAGGCAGAGAAAGCAGGCAGCCATGAACGCTCTTGAAACATCCAACAGCCCAGAGAAAGTCCTACCACAACCTGCCCCACATCTGAAGGACGCAAACCAAACCAAATTGTACATTCCAGCTTGTCCCCTAATTAACAAGCTGGCTTGGAAATGCTGGCCTGGAGAGACCTTTTGCAAGGAGTGAGTGTCCTCGTCAAACCGGAGCAAGCAGGACGCTGCTGACAGGAGCCCAAAGTCAACCCATTAAGGGGTTCTGTGTACGCCCGCTGACACTGGGAGGAAGGCAGCATCCCTGGTGGCTTCAAATTAACTAAAGAAAGCCATGGCATGACTGGCAGCAGGCACTCCTTTCGTTATATTATACAACATAAATGGTATTTTAAAAAAAAATGTATATATGAGACAAAAGAAAATGACAGAAAGATAAGGCTGGGGTCTGCCATGGGATTGGAACCCAGAAATTATTTCTGAGAACCCAGGAAGATTCTGGGAAATTTGAACCATGCAAGAATAACAGAATAACAGAGTTGGAAGCAACCCTGGAGGTCTTCTAGTCCAACCTCTGCTCCAGCAGGAGACCCTACATCATATCTAGACAGGTGGCTGTCCAATCCCTTCTTGAAAACCTCCAGTAAGGGAGCACCCATAACTTCTGGAGGAGCTTTCACTGGGAAGTTTTTAAGAAGAGACTGGACAGCCATTTGTCTGAAATGGTATGGGGTTTCCTGCCTGAGCAGGGGGTTGGATTAGATGATCTCCAAGGTCCCTTCCAACTTTTAATCATTTTTAAATTTTTAAATTTTATTCAGCCAAGTTAGGATCATACAAACTCGTCTGGTTCTTTTTTGACTCTTATAAATGCGCTTAGAATTGGGAAGGGCCCTCAGGAAGACATACCTTTTCTTTTGACGGTGTAAAAAGCAGCCGCTTCTCCACTCTTCCAGAATATTTTGGCATGTTCCTTCTTCGCATGAGGCACAAAGACTGTATTGTCAGTCGAGCTCCTCTCAAGCAGGCCAAAAACGATGCAGTTGAGGACAAAGAGAACAATTCTCTCTTGAAAAGTCTGAACCTTGAAAGACAAGCGAGATGAGGACATATAAGACAGCACAAAGAATGCAGGTAGCCCTCCACTTACAACAATTCGTTTAGTGACCATTTGAAGTTACAACAGCACTGAAAAAGGTGACTTATGACCGTTTTTCACACTTAACGACTGTTGCGGCATCCCCAGGGTCACGTGATCAAAATTTGGACCCTTGGCAACTGGCAGGTGTTTATGACGGCTGTCGCCGGGGTCAGGTGATCCCTTTTTGCAACCAAGCCAATGAGGAAGTTGGCCTCCCTTAAGAACCAGGTGTCAATGCTGCTAACATTGGATGTTCTTGCTTTGACAACATTTGAAGATGCAGCTTTTTTCTTTCTTATGCTTTACTCTTAGAATTAGATGAGGCTGGGGGAGGAGGCGGAAAGAGGTGGGAGTTAGTTAGACATAACAATATTGTACTGGTGTGTGAATTCAGAGCTTGAAATAAGAGCTGATAAGAATTGGCGGGTAGCAGAACAGGAGGGAAAGTCTGCATTTCAAGCTAATTGGAGAATGTGATTTATGACAGTTAATTGGAGGAGGGAATTGTTCTTTGATACTATGTGCTCAGGGGAGGGGAATCCAGTTTTTGGCTTCGATTGTGTTAGTGCCGAAGCTATGCTACTCCCATAAAGATTCTTTAAGGTAAACCATGCCTCAAAGTTCTTTGAAGAGTTTCATCTGTCAGAACCACGACACCACGTTACTAACTTAACATCTGCAGGGATTCACATAACAACTGTGGCAAGAGACGTGGTAAAATGGGGCAAAATTCACTGTCTCACTTAGCAACAGAAAATTTCAACTCGACTGTGGTCGTAAGTTGAAGACTCCCTATAATTCAGCATTATTTTTTAAGAAGATAACCGGCATGGCTTAAAATATCTAAAATGAGGTCGCAGAGTCTTAAAGTCGCCAAGTTTGGGGATCCCCGGCTTAAATTATGTTTTCACCTGTTTCAGACCTTTCCGGAAAGGGTCAGACGTCTTGATTACATCTTCAGGAAACCGCCAGGAGTTGTTCAAGTAAATTGCTAAAACTATTGAAAAGAAGGGGAATAAAGGAAGAATGAAGGAAGCGAGGAACTTCTATTTAAATAGGATTGTCCCAAGAGAGCCTTGAGTGCTCATAAACTTTTGGAAGCTTGTCTGAACTTCTTGCCCTGCGTTATTTTCACATTTCTGTCAGCAATAAAACATATTTCTTCCGCAAGTTTTCAGTAGCGGTGGAATTTAAGAAGTCTTGGGAGAAGGAAGAGAAAAGTATTAACACATGTAATCCTGCTGCAGTCTACACAAAAGAATCTGCAGGTTTGGCTTTTGCGACACGTTACGTGATGCGGCGAGTTTGACACATGCTCTAGAACAGTGTTTCTCAACCTTGACAATTTTAAGGCATGTGGACTTCAACTCCCAGAATTCCACAGCCAGCATTGCTGGCTGTGGAATTCTGGGAGTTGAAGTCCACATGCCTTAAAATTGTCAAGGTTGAGAAACACTGCTCTAGAACCTTTATCATATTTGTTGCTCTTCTGTGCTTTGTAAAAGTTGCTTACAAAGCTCGCCATCTTTGTCTTGAAAATATTTTGCACCACGGATCATTTACTTCAAGGGTCTTCAAACTTGGCCCTTTTATGACTTGTGGACTTCAACTCCCAGAATTCTTCAGCCAGCGTGCCTGGCTGAGGAATTCTGGAAGTTGAAGTCCACAAGTCATAAAAGGGCCAAGTTTGAAGACCCCTGATTTACTTATAGGATGAGCTAGGGCCTGGACCCCACCAAAATGAAAAACAGCTGTCTCTGAATAAAAATATATTTTGACTGAATTGATTTGACTGAAGAGTAATTATAATGTCTTCATTTTCTTATATTCAGTCACTACTTTTTTGGCTCCTCTAAAAAATTTTTTTAAAAAAAATTACAATTGACCAGCCAATTTTTTGAAATGCTCTGGAAGACACAGCAGAGTTTTGGAAAGGGGCATACTGTATGTGTTCCCAGGCCTTGGATTGTTTTTCCTATTTAGGGTAATAAATTAACAGGCGTTGATACTAACTCAAAAGACAACTGGGAAACACAAACACAATACATCAAAGAAAGAGCAAAACTGCCAAGGAACACCAACGAAAGGGATGGGCTGTTACAGGATATTTATTAAGGGGCACAATTATACAATA